CCCCCCCCCCCCCCCCCCCCTTCCCGGCACACTGTTACTTTTCATCTGGTCATCCAACTCATTTAGATCGATGCCCGTTTCATGAACAGTAGCTAACTCTCCAGATTCGTCGGCTTCCTCCACAGTCAAATCAGCTGAGTGTTGCAAACTGTCCTCGTTTCCTTGTTCAGTTGGCACGATAAAGTAATTCCCGTGCACTGGAGGAAGGGTGTGACCTTTGTTTACATCGTCGTGCTTTCTACGAACGTGTTTGTAAAAACTGTTGTACTTAAGGAAAACTTTTTGGCAACCTGGTGAGTCCCCGAGACCACAGGTAACTTGAAATTCGTCGTCTGAGTGTACTAAATTCAGGTGAGTGAACAAAATTCGCAAAGATATTGCGCTGAATACGCACGAAAGAAACATACATGTCCACATTTTCGGGAGCCTCGCTCTCAATTCTTCAGAAGGAGACTTGGACCAAGATCTTGACAGCCTCGATTTCAAGATCGCGTAGTTTTTTTTTTTTTTTTTTCTTTTTTCCATCGGGCTTGCGGAGAGAAGAATTGTTGACACTTTCACCATCAGATTTGGCGAAAAAACTTCAAGAAGTTGGGTTACCAAAAACGCTAACACAATGCTTAGAAGGTAAGGATTGTATTGAATAGTATGTCGCCTTACTGTTTTGTTAAACAGAACTAGAAAAATGTCCTGTGAGTGCATAAACGATGTTTTCCTGAGAGACACTTTTCACTTACTAATTAGTGAGAATTACTATTCATTTGGTAATTCTGTGATTTTAGAGGAGACAAGAGGACCTTCCAGACGAGGAAACACGCAGCAGCACTGGAACTGATCAGTTTTCAGTCACAGTGTCATCGCATAGATCATCTCCAATGGCGTCAAGCCCAAGTACTTACAGTGTTTCAAGTGGAAATTTCAACTCTAGTTTCAGATCTCTCTCAATATGATCTCTTTGTTGTTCAGAAACTGTCCTTGGGGAAGGAGGTCCAAAACAAGCTTTAAATTCTAACACGTGTTTGTATAAACCTGTTGATTTACCTGCAGACTTTGAACTACCCAATAAGTTTGGGAAAAAAATTGATCAGACTTTGAAAGAGTGTAAAAAGCCAGGTTCAGTGCCACCTGATGTAATGAAAAGGGTTGTTAGACAGGTAGCTGATCATATTGAAGTAGAGAACCTTAGCCATCCAAAAAGACCATTGAGTGGGTTGCCTGGACTTACTGCTTGAAGTATCCTGGGCTGAAGACAGCTAATCCCCTGGACATCTTTGCCAAATCTTTCAATGAATGGGTAGGTGTAAAACTTGTGTTGCAGTATTTACAATAGGTCTTTAAAAACAATCTCAAAATTAGAATTAATGTTCCTGCATGCAAAGCTATTTGCTTTATTGTCATTGCCTCTAAGGGAGTGCTTGCAGAAAAACTTAGAAGAGGGCTAGAAAATAAGAGCTACTAGGATAAGTGCAAGTCTGTGGAAGGTGATCATTTTCAACTTGAGGCTAAAAAGCAGAAGACTCTGGAAACAGATGAAGGTAAGTCAGTCATCTGACAGTGTTGGAAATAATTTTTCTTGTTTTAGCAAAACACAGGTCCTTTCAAATCTTTATTTTGGCTGAACGTACTGAAAACTTCTGGGACATTAATCAGTACAATTTTGCATTTTATGTAATTACCATCCACAATGTTAAATGATAAGGGTCAGGAAATTGTGTTATCTGTCTATCCTCTGAAGGAACTCCTATAAATGTGGATGATAATACTAG